CTCAGGAGGCTGAAGCAGGAGAATCACTTGAACCTGGGAGGCAGAGGTTGCAGTGAGCCGAGATTGTGCCACTGCACTCCAGCCTGGTGACAGAGCAAGACTTCATCTCAAAAAAAAAAAAGATTCTCCTGCCTCAGCCTCCCAAGTAGATGGGATTACAGGCACCTGCCATCATGCCCAGCTAATTTTTTATTATTTTTGTAGAGACGGGACTTCACCATGTTGGCCAGGTTGGTCTTGAACTCTTGACCTAAGGTGATCTGCCTGCCTTGGCCTCCAAAAGTGCTAGGACTACAGGCATGAGCCACTGTGCCTGGCCAAGTATTAGGTTTAAACACAGATGTGGACTAATCAACAGTCTGTCTCATCTAACTGCTCTGTTTCTCAACTTCCACTGGTAAAACGTATAATGAAAAACTGGGGCCGGGAGCAGTGGTTCACGTCTGTAATCCTAGAACTTTGGGAGGCTGAGGTGGGTGGATCACGAGGTCAGGAGTTCGAAACCACCCTGATCAACACAGTGAAACCCCATCTCTACTGAAAATACAAAAATCAGCTGGGCGTAATGGTGTGTGCCTGTAATCCCTACTCAGGAGGCTGAAGCAGGAGAATTGCTTGAACCTAAGAGGCGGAGATTGCAGTGAACAGAGATCACACCACTGCACTCCAGCCTGGGCAACAAAGTGAGACTCCGTCAAAAAAAAAAAATCGGGAGAAATAGATTTAATAAGATATAGATCTCCTTAGCAGTTGACAGTAATCTCTGAAATATTACATCATAAAAAATAGCATAAAACTGGGCTAGGAGAGGCCAGCATTAGTGAGTTACCTGCAAGCAGAGGAAAAAAGGAGGTGGCCCACATTCAGCACACTTGATATAAGGCTCCATGAGGTAGGAGGAGCAGCCTCGGCAAGGTGGCTTATCAGAAGGATCATCTAGAACAAAGAGAAAACAAATACACATTTCAGAACACTTTATGGTTATCTTAAGTGCAAAAAGGTGAAAATCCCCAAATGACCACACAAGTAGTGAGTTGAGTTGCAAAGTTCATGGAGACAAGATGAGCTCATTACAAATAAAAAAAAAGCAAAAATTACGCTCCTTTTAACTTCAGGGCAGCAATGTTCCTTTTCACACAGCATTTACATAGATATGGACCCTGCAGAGAAATTTACAAGCATATATTTGTTCATTTATTTACACATTTTTAGAGACAGGGTCTTGCTCTGCCACCCAGGCTGGAGTGCAGTGGCTTGACAATAGCTCATTGTAACCTGAAACTCCTGGGCTCAAGGGATCCTCCTGCCTCAGCCTCCCAAGTAGTTAGGACTACAGGCACATGCCACCACACCTGGTTAATTTTATGTAGAGGCGACGTCTCACCACGTTGCCCAGGCTGGTCTTGAACTTTTGGATTCAAAGAATGTTCCTGCCTTGGCCTCTCAAAGCTCTGGAATTACAGGTATGAGCTACCATGCCCAGTCACGAACACATTTTTAACTGGAAGTTTCATAATATCCCAAACTTATTTTTCCAGGAGCATAAAATGGACACATACCTACACATACAATATAAAGAAAATCTGACAAAATGTTAATGATTGCTGAATCTAGGTAGCAAGCATATAAATAATCACTGTAGGCTGGCCACGTTAGCTTACCCTGTATTTCCAGCACTTTGGGAGGCCAAGGCTGGTGCATCATCTGAGGCCAGAAGTTTGAGACCAGCCTCGCCAACACGGCGAAACCCTGTCTCTACTAAAAATACAAATAGCCAGGGATGGGGGCACAGCCTATAATCCCAGCTACTTGGGAAGTTGAGGCACAAGAATCACTTGAACCCGGAAGGCAAAAGTTGCCGTGAGCCAAGATTGTGCCACTGCACTCCAGCCTGGGCGACAGAGCTAGACCCTGTCTCAAATAATAATAATAATAATAACAATAATAATAATTGGCTGGGCATGGAGGCTTACGCCTATAATCCTAGCACTTTGGGAGGCTGAGGCAGGCAGATTACCTGAGCTTGGGAGTTTGAGACCAGCCTGGACAACACAGTGAAACCCTGTCTCTACTGAAAATACAAAAAAATTGGCCAGGCGCAGTGGCTCCTGCCTGTAATCCCAGCACTTTGGGAGGCCGAGGTGGGTGGATACTGAGGTGAGGAGTTCAAGACGATGGTAAAACCCCATCTCTACTAAAAACACAAAAATTAGCTGGGTGTGGCGATACACACCTGTAATCTCAGCTACTCGGGAGGCTGAGGCAGAAGAATCGCTTGAACCCAGGAGACAGAGGTTGCAGTGAGCCGAGATTGCGCCACTGCACTCCAGCCTGGGCGACAGAGTGAGACTCCGTCTCAAAAAAAAAAAAAAAAAATTAGCCAAGCATAGTGGTGTGCACCTGTAGTCCCAGCTACGCAGGCGCCTAAGGCAGGAGAACTGCTTGAACCCGGGAGGCGGAGGTTGCAGTGATCCGAGATCGCGCCACTGCACTCCAGTCTGGGCGAAAGAGAGACTCCGTCTTCAAACAAAATAAAAAAATAAAAAATAAAAATCATCATCACTGTACTGTTCTTTTGACTTTTCTATTTAAGTTTAAAATTTTTCATAACAAAAAGTTGGGGCAAAAAAGAGACAACTCCTTTATTTGTTTGAGATAGGGTCTCACTCTGTCACCTAGGCTGAAGTGTGGTTGCACGATCATGCCTCAATGTAGCCTCAACCTCCCAGGCTCAAGTGAGCCTCCCACCTCAGCCTCCTAACTAGCAGGGATTACAGGCACAAGCCACCACACCTGGGTAATTGTTTAAAATGTATTTTCTATAGAGACAGAGTTTCACTACGTTGCCTAGGCTGGTCTTGAATTCCTGGGCTCAAATGATCGCAGGAATTTGAGCTGCCTCAGCTTCCTAAAATGTTGGGATTACAGGTATGAGCCACCACACTCAGCTAGTGTCTAAATATGTCTCCTCTAAACACATGTCTTGGAATATACTATTTTATATTTGAGTTCGGATTTTTTTTTTCTTGAGACAGGGTCTTCCTGAGAGAGGATCTTGGACTGTCGCCCAGGCTGGAGTGCAGTGGCGTGATCACGGCTCACTGTGGCTTCAAGCTCCCCAGGCTCAGGTGATCCTCCCACCTCAGCCTCCCAAAAAGAGGTACAGACTTGCACCACTGCACCTGGCTCAATTTTTAATTTTTGTAGAGACAGGGTCTCACTATGTTGCCCGCGCTGGTTTTAAGAAGTCCTCCTGCCTCAGCTTCCCAAAGCGGTGGAATTATAGGTGTGAGCCACTGCACCTGGTTCTGAGTGGGAATTTAAACCCAGAAAGCTTCCTCCCTTTCTCCCATGGTAAGTACATAACACAGTAGATCTTCTACTCCAATGACAGTGGTATGTCTCCAAACTATTAAGACAAGGAGCATAATCCAAACTCTCAAAAATCATAAAAATGCAGATATATGTGTCCTTGGTTGCCCCAAACTTGGCCTCTAGAGTCACGGCAACCTAGCAAAATTGTTCTCTATGATCAATCACAAGAATCTAAGAGAAGAAAGGCTTTGAAGGTAGATGAAGGAATTTAATTTGTTCAGCCTGGAACAGGATTTCTCACATTCTGTAATAGTATTTGCCTCCCTAAAGTCCAAGAAACACTCTTCAAGGTACCTTTCCCTCTTTCAAGTGATGATCACTGTTCTCTTTATTTGTTTTTAAGAAGATATAGAGGGTGGGCATGGTGGCTCAAACCTATAATCCCAGCACTTTGGGAAGCTGAGGTGGGTGGATCACTTTAGCTCAGGAGTTCAAGACTAACCTGACTAGCATGGCAAAACCCCATCTCCACTAAAAATACAAAAATTAGCCAGGTGGTGGGCGCCCGTAATCTCAGCTACTCGGGAGGCTGAGGCAGGAGAATCGCTTGAACCCGCGAGGTAGAGATTGCAGTAAGCTGAGATTGCGCCATTGCACTCCAGCCTGGGTGACAGGAGCGAAACTCCATCTCAAAAAAATAAAAATAAAAAGACACAGAAGAAAATGACAAAAGAAAAAAAATGTACTCCTGGCAGTAGCTTTCAATTCAATATATGAAACTGCAGCTACTCCATTCCCCCCATTTTAAATTTTAATACAGAAGAACAAATCTTGCTATGTTGCTCAGGCTGGTCTCAAACTCCCAGCCTCAAGTGATCCTCCTGCCCCAGCCTCCCAAAGTACTGTGATTACAGGAGTGAGCCACTACACCGTGCCAAAAACTGTTGTATATTAAGTGATAGATGCCAACTTCTACCAAGTTACCCTCTTCCTCACTTCCTGTTAATGATATAAGCTTGCTTCTCTCTTGCCTCCAACTATCCTGTTTTTAAAAAAGGCATCAGCCATTGAGCTAAGTGTTTTTTTTGTTTTGTTTTGTTTTTTGAGATGGAGTCTCGCTCTGTCACCCAGGTTGAAGTGCAGTGGCACGACCTTGGCTCACTGCAACCTCCACCTCCTGGATTCAGGTGACTCTTCTCCCTCAGCCTCCCGAGCAGCTGGGACTACAGGCGCACACCACCACGCCCGGCTAATTTTTTATACTTTTAGTAGAGACGGGGTTTCACCATATTGGCCAGGCTGGTCTCGAACTCCTGAAAAGTGGTCTTTATTTATTGTTTTGTTGAGACAGTGTCTCACTCTGGTTACCCAGGCTGCAGTGCAATGGCTTGATCTCAGCACACTGAAACCTCAGTCTCCCACGTTCAAGCAATTCTCATGCCTCAGCCTCCCAAGTAGCTAGGATTATATGTATGTGCACTATGCCCAGCTAAATTCTGTATTTTTAGTAGAGGGGGGGTTTCCCCATGTTGCCCAGGCTGGCCTTGAACTCCTGGATTCACACAGTCCACCTGGCTTAGCCTCCCAAAGGGCTAGGATTGCAGGCCCAAAGTGATTTTTTTAAATCCTTATGTCAAGAAGCAGTTATTGGGCGGGGCACAGTGGCTCATGCATGTAATTCCAGCACTTTGGGAGACCAAGGTGGGTGGATCACTTGAGCTCAGGAGTTTGAGACCAGCCTGGGGAACATGGTGAAACCCCATCTCTACAAAAAAAAAAAAATACACAAAATTAGGCAGGTGCAGTGGTGCATGCTTGGTGGTCCCAGCTATACGGAGGCCTGAGGTAGGAGGATCACTTGAGCTGAGGAGGTCGAGACTGCAGTGAGCCATGAGCACGCCACTGCACTCCACCCTGTGTAAGAAAGCTAGACCCTGTCTCAAAAAGAAAAAAAAAAAGGAATTACTTTGTAAAAGTAATCCAATTTATAGTTCTTAACATTCCAAACAATAAAACTGTAAAGTATGTCATCCACAATTAGCATTCTGAAAAATATTTTTCCAACCTTTCTTCTCTATAACACAGTACAAATATTCAACAAAGGTAGAGGCTAGGCTCAGTGGGTCACGCCTGTAACCCCAGCAATTTGGGAGGAAAAGGCAGGATGATTGCTTGAGCTTAGGAGTTCAAGCCCCCCCTGGGCAATATGGCAAGACCCTGCCTCTACCAAAAATAATAAAAAGAAAAACTAGCCAGGCACGGTGGCCCACACCTATAATCCCAGCACTTTGGGAGGCTGAGCCAGGTGGATCACCCGAGGTTAGGAGTTCAAGACCAGCCTGGCCAACACGGTGAAACCCCACCTCTACTAAAAATACAAAAATTAGCTGGATGTGGTGGTGCGCGCCTGTAATCCCAGCTACTCAGGAGGCTGAGGCAGGAGAATCACTCGAACCCAGGAGGCTGAGGTTGCAGTGAGCCGAGATCATACTACTGCACTCCAGCCTGGGTGACAAGAGCGAAACTCCATCTCAAAAAAGAAAAAAAAAGAAAAAAAAAAGTGGAATATCTATACATGATGTTTTGTAGCCTGTTTTTTCACTTGACAATATATTGTGGAC